TAGATAAATATATATTGTACAACACTTTCCCCAACAGTGTGTTGAGGCTACATGGGGGACCTTTGTGTTTGTGCTTGTGATTGTATTGTGGAGGCCTTCTTCGGTGCTGCTCCTTGCTAATAGCACTTGCCCCAATAGTCTCTTGATTCTATACGGGGAACGTTTGTCTTTGTGAATAATGTTTTAATTGGGGCGGTGTCATTTTCTAAATTGCCCCAATGTTTTTAAATGGTCGACTTGCGTTTCAGCCATTTTCGGACCCAATTAATACATCTCTTCATTTCTTGAGCTTGGTGGCGGTGGTGGCAGCTGTGGCAGCGGCGGTGGCAGTGGCGTTGGTGGTGGTGGCATCTTTGTAAATTTGAGAAATGGCGCATTTCAGCTCTTTCAGCTGTCTACTGAGATGCCGGCACTCTTTGCGCATCTTCTCTTCGCCGTGCCACTTTTCCTCGTGACGCGCCAGCTTCCCGCGCAGCCTAAACTGCTTCTGCCCTCTCTGTGGATTCAGGAAGTTCAACTCCCTCAGGTGGATGCGCAGCGACCTACGGAGACCTTCCTTTTTACAGCGCAGCGACATTTGCCGCTGTGCTGCATTGCAGTCTTGGAGAAAATCCGCACGGAGAGACGCACGCTCGCAGCAAGGCACTCTCGTGGACTCCAGCTCCTAACTGGTGCTCTTTAAGCTGTTGAACCAGGCCCCTGTTCTCTCTCTGGAGAGTCTCTCGGTTATCCATCAACTCCTCCTGCTGCTGCTGTAGCTTCAGATGGGGCGTCTTGTTCTTCTGACAGAGCTCCACATTCTGCTGGCCCATCATCTCCCTTTGCAGCGTCGTGGTCTCGCGGTGAAAGTCTGAGATGGCAAGCGTAAAACGAAGATAAATGAAGATCCCCATCCCAAGCAGGGCCAAGAGCAGAACGCCAACGATCAGCAGCGCCATGCTCAGCTCGTGTTGACGGCACGCGGGACAGAAGCAAGTGTGAGGCACGTCACGAAGGGGCGTTATTTATATAACTTCTTTACCGGATGTGACGTACGCTATGACGTAACAGCCATCCCTGCCCACTTATTGTCAATCATTGCCAACCACGTGACTCCACGGCCCCGCCCCTAACCGCGCAGCTCCTCCCCCATACTCCTCTTCCGCCTTCCCCACGTGACGCGAAGCGAGCCAATCACGCGAGAGGCGGCGCGCGGTCGGCCCCGCGACCGCTTCCCGCCATTCTTGCAATGGGCGGTGGGGGGGCGAGATCACTCCACGTCGCGAGCGGGAGGAGGAGGGACTAGGGGGAGGGGCCAGGAGGGACGAGGGGGAGGGGCCAGGTGGAACGAGGGGGAGGGGCCAGGAGGGACGAGGGGGAGGGGCCAGGAGGAACGAGGGGGAGGGGCCAGGATCCCCCTGGGCCCGCGGCGCCACGCGGAGACCGCGACAGCAGCAGCAGCAGGAGGTGTTGGTGGTGTTTGTGGTTGTAGGCACGGGAGAGGTGGTGGTGGTGTTTGTGGTTGTAGGCACGGGAGAGGTGGTGGTGGTGTTTGTGGTTGTAGGCACGGGAGAGGTGGTGGTGGTGTTTGTGGTTGTAGGCACGGGAGAGGTGGTGGTGGTGTTTGTGGTTGTAGGCACGGGAGAGGTGGTGGTGGTGTTTGTGGTTGTAGGCACGGGAGAGGTGGTGGTGGTGGTGTTTGTGGTTGTAGGCACGGGAGAGGTGGTGGTGGTGTTTGTGGTTGTAGGCACGGGAGAGGTGGTGGTGGTGTTTGTGGTTGTAGGCACGGGAGAGGTGGTGGTGGTGTTTGTGGTTGTAGGCACGGGAGAGGTGGTGGTGGTGTTTGTGGTTGTAGGCACGGGAGAGGTGGTGGTGGTGTTTGTGGTTGTAGGCACGGGAGAGGTGGTGGTGGTGTTTGTGGTTGTAGGCACGGGAGAGGTGGTGGTGGTGTTTGTGGTTGTAGGCACGGGAGAGGTGGTGGTGGTGTTTGTGGTTGTAGGCACGGGAGAGGTGGTGGTGGTGTTTGTGTTTGTAGGCACGGGAGAGGTGGTGGTGGTGTTTGTGGTTGTAGGCACGGGAGAGGTGGTGGTGGTGTTTGTGGTTGTAGGCACGGGAGAGGTGGTCACGGACAGGCGGTGAGTGCCAGGTAATGGGAGGGTGGAGTGAGTGAGGAGAATTAATAGGTGAGGAGGGTGAGTGAGTGAGTTCATGAGGATAATTAATTGGTGAGGAGGGACCTCCTGCCAGCGGGCGTTCGACACTTCACGTGGCCTCAAGGTGCACATGGCCTGGCACAAGCGTCGTGGTAACGTCACCACCACTTAGTGGCGAATGGCAGTTGTTGTAAACGCATGTACATATGTGTGTGTACATGTGTGTGTACATGTGTGTGTAAACGCGCGTGTGTGTGTGCATGTGTGTGTCGAATCAGCCTCAAATAAGTACCTGGTGCGGCGTGCAAACGACGCCATTAGGGAGGTAAAGGCGGCCGGACGTGGTGTTGGCCACCCAACCCATCGTGTGCCGTGTAGGCCTCTATAGGTGCTCGCTAACAGCACTTGCTCCGACAGTCTGTTAAGGCTACACGAGGGATCTTTGTCTTTGTGTGTGTAAGCGCGCGTGGGGAGCGGTGGCGCCGTGGTTAGCGCACTGCGCTATGAACCACTCATGTTCGACATTGTTGACGACTATCTTAACCTGTCTCGGGCCTCCCCTAAGTCGACTCGGCATATTATCACAATTGAGGAACCAAAGGTGGCTGGGCATGGTGCTAGCCAGGTACCCCCTCGTTCGCCATTCTCTCTTTTATATATACTCACTACTCTACGGGGCGTCTGGCAAAATATTACAAAGCTGCAGCATTAACAAAACTCTTTGGTACGTGTCGTGACCCGGTAGTGCAAGATCTGACCATGTCTGTCCAGTGCTCGCCAGGTCACATTGGCTTCCTGTTGCCGAACGAATCGACGATAAGGTCGCACTCATTACACACAAAGTGCTTGCCACAAATGATACACAATACCTTGCTGATCTCGTTAAGGAGCATAATCTATCACGCAAACCCCAGTCACCATCGCAGCAGCTATTGACTCACCATCGAACAAAGACGGTCACTGCATCGCGCGCTTTTCGATGCGCTTCTGCAGCCGTCTGGAATGTTCTTCCATCCGATATTATGAAGCCACTGGGAGCTATGCACTTTTAAATCTAGATTGAACTCTAATTTATTTAGAGCTGCTTTTTGTGTTTAGTTTGTTCTTACCCTGCACCTCCGATTATCATACGGTGCGAAATAAGTTCAACATACATAAATACTCACGAACTGAACTTTCACAAATATGTTCAAGCTATACGGGTTATCTTTGTCTTTTGGGAATGTTTGCGTGTGTGTGTGAATGAGTGAAGCGAGTGTACACTTACACCACTGAGTGGTGCTTTTCGCGTTGTTAATCATAACTCCTGCCAGACAGATTTCCACGAGACCCAGGAACAGAAGTTCTCGCAGTAACGCTCACCAAACGCCACTGTTTTAGTGAGCGTTGTTAAAAACGGAGATTTAAATAGCAATGCATGCTATGTAACTTGGGTAAAAATGTAACTCTTACACAGGGAGTGGTTTTGGGCTGGAGTCGTGAGCGGTTCACATGGGGGAATTTATATCCGTGCACGTGTAGAACACATACACACCTACACCTATAACAGTGCACACACACAGTGTGGGGGGTGAGACTACTTCATAGCCAAAAACAAATCAGAATTTTGTCTTAAATCGCGGTTGCCAAGTGCAGGCACAAAGGTCAATAACGCAAAGCGGTCAGCAACAAACAGCACAATTCAAATTTTAATTTAAAGCTTCCGTGACGGCAGGGATTCATATTCTTGGTTCTTTCGGTAAAGTCACGTAGAAGGGAAACAATAAAACAATTCAAGTTGTAATAGATGAGAGTTAACACGTTTCTAGACATTGACCCATGATGTATCAAATAACTTGGGACAAAGACGATGGGGGGGAATTTCCAAGTGGAGCAGTGCGATAGAAGACCTGGACTATGGTGAGGCCATGTTGGTCTAATGCAGACGATATCAGCAGGGATACAAGTTCTGTTTTGTGGAGGCACAACGGGCTCAGATATTTCACATTTAATATTTAGCGTGATTTTAAAGATAAATAATATGTTAACTAACTGGCCTGCTATCTCAGTAGTAGAGTAAGCGGCTTTGCAATCAGAATGTTGAGTTCAAACCCTGGTTGTGGTTGACTCATCCCATCATCTTAATGGGTCGATAAAGTGAGCACGACTTTGTGGGGAAGTCCAGTTAGGTGAAGTCAAGTCAGTCTCATTTGCAAGTTGCCCGGGGTCAGAAAAATAATAAATTATCGTGGAGCTATAGTCTACCAGCCATAAAAGCGTCACACGATCTCAATACTGCTTGTCTTGAGAATTGAAATCGCTCCCGTCATAGAAAAGTGGAATTATCACGACCACCGGAACAGGGCTGTAAGCAAGAGATAATCACCACCTCAATGCTTATTTTAGGAACAAATCACTTTCACTTTAGACATATAATAAGTGTCGCGGAGTGAATCAGTGCATCACACGAGTTGCGTGAAAGGTGAGATGATCACATTGGTGGTTATAGTGAGGTGAGCTCGCCGAGCAATGACAAGTCACCTGGCAAGGAATTAAATCAAAATAACCAACATTGTCTCGGTACAATGTAAACAGGCGTGTCTCACTTAAACGAGCGAGATACGTTCGGAGAAAAATGCTCGATAAGCAAAAACTCGCCAAAGATCATCGTTATCCCATTGACTCCCATACTAAAAAGCCAAGCTACGTTTCAGCCTCGAAATGTTCCACTCTTGAACACCCCCCCACCCGCCCCTCCCACCCATTCCGCCCCCCCTCCCCGCAACCATTGACCCACCCCACCCACCCCTCCCCCCCACCCGCGTGGATCTGATTGGCAACCTTGGAGGCGGCCTAACTTGAAGGCGGTGCTCCCAGCGTGAGCCGAGGAGGAGGAATCGCCCCTTGCTGTTGCTGCTGGAGGAGGCTTGCTCATGCCACTGCTGGCGTCAAGGTCTCAGCTAGGGTAGCAGTGGTGGTGGTGGCGGCACGGGGAGCCGGGCCGCGTCTGCGCGTGTCGCGAGCGACAGACACGGGCGACTCGACACTTCACAGCGTGGGTGAGTTGTGGGGAGTTTGCAGTGTGTGGAGTAGGGGGGGGGGGCTGTAAACAGCCTGAGGAAAGTGGTGGTAACGAGCGCCTGTGAAGGCCAGCATGGGATACGGTGGGTGGCAGTGTGGTCCAGACATACATAGCCTGCTTAGGCAACACCCGGAATGTTTTATGTATCACTAGCAGGAAGTACCCGGCATTGTTCAAGCATATACGGGGGTATCTTCGTGAAAGGGAGTCCACGTGAGTCGTCCTGGCAAGCGGACTCTTGTTCCGTCGGTCTCGTCACGAACAGTTGCAGGGCACATGGCAGCAACGCTCGCAGTTGACTCCCAGACTTTTCTTTCCCCAAGCTCCGAGCCCTTTCTGTATGTTTTTTTTGCCTGCCAATCTGTATTTCTTTTGGGGATGTTACCCAATCCTCCATCTGTTTCCCCGTGTTTCCTCCTGGTGCTTATTTCGACTTGGTTTCCGTTGGCGAAGCCCTGCCGTGACCCCTCCAACGAACCTCCCCCCCCCCCCCCACTTTGCACAAGAAGAGCACGCAAGTGTGGTCCACATCTCCACAAATATGGCTGTCGCCTGATGAAGCTGGTTGTAATTGCTGGCGAAACGATGTACTCGGATTGTAAATGTTGTGGCTTGGCTGTCCCAAGACACACGGTGTGCTGTACTCGTGACGAATTGACACGTTCTGTTTACGTGACAACCCTTACTAGTTGGCTGTGTTGGGTAGTGGTGGGTTTAACGACATATTTATTTATTTACGCAATCTAACCAAAAAAACCTTTATTATGGATGATATTGATCACGAAAGCCGTCGTGTTAAAAAAATATAAACAATTACCTCTTGTTACAAAATTAGCGTCTCTGAAGTGCTTCGTTACAATTGTATCCCACGCCTCTATTTTCCTAACTTTTTTTATTTCATAAAATATTTCACCTGCAAATTCCATTGACGTTGAATGTTTCGTGCACATGGATGCCCAGAGTTTATGGGGTGGAGTAGTTGCACAGTGCTTGGAGCACTGCACTACAAACCAATGGCATAGAATCGGAGGCGAGTGAAAAATGAATCAACTCCTGCCCACCCCCCCCCCCCCCCCTTTGCTTCACCAACCCGCACTGAGCAGCATAGTGAAGTATGCTAAAAACATTACTACCGACAAGGCATCGCATACAGGTCTGGTTGTGCATTGTAATTCTTTAGTTCCTTTGTGAAATGTAATACTTGGCGAGATACTTGCTCATTTAATCTGGTGCATTTACTATTTATTTTGCGCGTCTGTGCACTGGTCACGTTACTTGGATTTGTTCATTGTCGTGCGAGTTTAATCTGATGCTATCTTGGTAGAGCACCCAGTGGCCTCGGTCTCTTTACTTCCCTTTGTGTCACTGTATTCTTACCAGAGGATGTTGTGGTGCCACAGTGGCAAAATGTTAACTACCACGCCTGGTATGGAGGAGGTTGTGGGTTCGATGCCAACCATGACGCCTCTGTATTTGGAGTTTGCATGTTCTCGCCGTGGTCGCTTGAACGTACCTCGGGTTCTCTAGATTTTCCCTCCACATTTAGAAACATGCATTTCGAGTTTTTGGCTGCTATACATTTCCTCATTATAGGACATTTCGTTGAACATTCATTTGTGGTCAGGTCCTTTCTGAAAAACAGTTATATAGTTCCATGGGCCTTACCTGGTAAAAAAAAAAATAGTTTTGGGTTGTTCACAGTGTGATGTATTTAATTGCAATGCTAATTTAAAGTCCATATTTTAACAAGAATAGTGTTGTTTTTGTAAAGTTAATACTTTTGTAGTCTATTACGTCCAGTCAGTTGAGGGAGCGATATCCCCCACTGCACCCTGAGCCCCGTGGTGCCGCCTATGGGACTCATCCTCACTCAGAAGCCAAAGTTCACCACGGCGCTGTCTCGAGCAGAACCTACCTCGCTGTTTTTTCAAGTAAATAAAAAGCAGCACTTTAGCAAATGTGCCATGGAACTCAGAGTCTTGTCATTCAGCATCCTTATGTGCTGTCTCGCCCGTTGCATTAGTTAGTGAAGCTGTTTTGTTTATGATCCTTTCTCTGGCACTCGATTTATCTGGTTTTCATCATATCTGGGTCAACTTCCGAAGAGGAATGTCTCATCCCGTAAACCTTTCCAAGAGCTTTCTAGTTACATTTTTATTTAAAGCTTTCGTGACTGCAGTAATTCATATTCTTAGCTCTTTCGGTAAAGTCACGTTGAAGGGAAACAATAAAATATATATAAAATAATAAAAATTATCACGACGTTTCGACCATAACACAAACGGTCGTCATCAGGTGTGTCGACCGTTTGTGTTATGGTCGAAACGTCGTGAGAATTTGTATTGTTTTTTACACATTTTATTATTTTATTGTTTCCCTTCAACGTGACTTTACCGAAAGAGCTAAGAATAAGCTTTCTAGTTGTGGGTCTTACACGTGCTCCCTCTCTATCAATCAGGTGGTGCACCTGCCAGTTTGTATTTTTTCTCCTTTTCTCCAAACCAGTCTAAAGTTGGGTGGGGTGAATAATACAGGTCTTTTTACGGGGCTATGGTTGACATCCCTGATCTGAAGACATCTAAATAAGTGTGAGTGTGAAATATCATGGTGCGTGCAAAATTGCTCAAATGTCTTCACTCTCCCTTTCTCGGTTAAAGATTGGCTACTTTTTCCAGGCCAGTCTCTTTCAAACTGGGTCAGCAAACCCCATGCCTCCCAATTTCGATGAGGAATCACTCCACAATAGGGATTGTCTGTGTATGGGGTTAGGGAAGGACATTGGTTTATTTTTGCATATCCCTAAAGTTCAGGTGACCGTCCATTTGGGTTTCATGTTTCTGCACCTGTCCTTGGAGGGGAGGTGATTCTTGATTTTGACCACGAGTTAACGGAGTCCTCTTATGCTTTTTACGTCCCATTTTTTTCCGAGTTAATCCAATGCCCAATGTTCTGGAGGGCCATCGCTTTGTGGTATTTAAGGGAATCTGGAAGGGGCTGGCCCCCCATCATTTCGAGGCAGGGTAAAAGAGTGATCGTCTTTTCGTGCCAAATTTCGTCTTCAAAATTAAGTCAGCAATGTGGGAATGGAGTATCTTAAAAAAGGCCTTCAGGAAACATGTCCGGACCATGCTAAAGTGGTATAGGAGCTTGGGCAGAGCCATCATCTTAACCAGATGGGATATTTTGGGGAGAAAGACGGGAACGTCCATCCATGCCTCAAGCGAGGTGGTCATCGGCTGCAGAATAGTGTGAAAATGTTTTTGAAAGAGCAACGAAAGCGATGAAGGATGATCACTGCCAGGTACTTCATTTGTGTAGGGAACCATCTGAAGTACAGAAGCTTCAGCCAGTTTTATCGAGACCTGGGTGAGGGAGGATCTGGCTGAAATCAATCAAGGAAGGCATGGCTGCCGGCAGAGATGGTGTCCCCTCAGAAGTCCCCAATTACTTTAGTCCCTAGGGGACTCCGATGACTGGCAAACTTGAACACTAAAAATATGAAAACCGAATGCATCTCAAAGGCATGACAGGAGGCGATGGTCATTGCAATACCAAAACTGGGCAAGCCAACTGACAACCCGGGAAGCTATAGGCCATTATCACTCCTGTTGATGACCTATGAACACCTGGAAAGTATCATCGTCCTGAGAATTAGCCCCCTCATCGAGTCAGTGATCCCTGAAGAACAAGTGGGATTCCGGCCTGGACGCAGCTTTTGTGATCAATCTTTGGCCTTTGCTACGCACAATAAAGCTGGACTCCAGAAGAAATCCAAGACTGGCACAGCCGGTCTTGGATTTCAGGTAACAAGCTGAGATTAGGAGCACTCCCTTTAAGAGTGTGCTCCTAATCTCAGCTCGTTACCTGTATAAAAGACACCTGTCCACAGAAGCAATCAAATCAATCAGATTCCAAACTCTCCACCATGGCCAAGACCAAAGAGCTCTCCAAGGATGTCAGGGACAAGATTGTAGACCTACACAAGGCTGGAATGGGCTACAAGACCATTGCCAAGCAGCTTGGTGAGAAGGTGACAACAGTTGGTGCGATTATTCGCAAATGGAAGAAACACAAAAGAACTGTCAATCTCCCTCGGCCTGGGGCTCCATGCAAGATCTCACCTCGTGGAGTTGCAATGATCATGAGAACGGTGAGGAATCAGCCCAGAACTACACGGGAGGATCTTGTCAATGATCTCAAGGCAGCTGGGACCATAGTCACCAGGAAAAAAATTGGGAACACACTACGCCGTGAAGGACTGAAATCCTGCAGAGCCCGCAAGGTCCCCCTGCTCAAGAAAGCACATATACATGCCCGTCTGAAGTTTGCCAATGAACATCTGAATGATTCAGAGGACAACTTGGTGAAAGTGTTGTGGTCAGATGAGACCAAAATGGAGCTCTTTGGCATCAACTCAGCTCGCCATGTTTGGAGAAGGAGGAATGCTGCCTATGACCCCAAGAACACCATCCTCGTCAAACATGGAGGTGGAAACATGCTTTGGGGGTGTTTTTTCTGCTAAGGGGATAGGACAACTTCACCGCATCAAAGGGACGATGGACGGGGCCATGTACCGTCAAATCTTGGGTGAGAACCTCCTTCCCTCAGCCAGGGCATTGAAAATGGGTTGTGGATGGGTATTCCAGCATGACAATGACCCAAAACACACGGCCAAGGCAACAAAGGAGTGGCTCAAGAAGAAGCACATTAAGGTCCTGGAGTGGCCTAGCCAGTCTCCAGACCTTAATCCCATAGAAAATATGTGGAGGGAGCTGAAGGTTCCAGTTGCCAAACGTTAGCCTCGAAACCTTAATGACTTGGAGAAGATCTGCAAAGAGTAGTGGGACAAAATCCCTCCTGAGGTGTGTGCAAGCCTGGTGGCCAACTACAAGAAACGTCTGACCTCTATGATTGCCAACAAGGGATTTGCCACCAAGTACTAAGTCATATTTTGCAGAGAGGTCAAATACTTTTTTCCCTCATTAAAATGCAAAGCATTTTATAACATTTTTGACATGCATTTTTCTGGATTTTGTTGTTATTCTGTCTCTCACTGTTCAAATAAACCTACCAATAAAATTATAGACTGATCATTTCTTTGTCAGTGTGCAAACGTACAAATCAGCAGGGGATCAAATACTTTTTTTCCCTCACTGTACAAGTGGAAAATTAAAAACTCTTCAGTGTGTGACTGTGGTCATCCAGACCATAAATCGTATAACAACACAATGCCGATCCACAAATACAAAGGAGACATTACAGCCATACACAGTGCTGCTCCTGACACGGTTATCTGGCTTTACCACCTGAATGTTAATTTGTAGTTGTTGCTTTGCACTTACAATACCCATAGGAAAACAGAAGAAGACCACTTACCACCGTCACCATCATTAGCACTGTCACCAACATCATCAACACTGATACCATCATCGTGTTGGATCTAAGGCAGTGGAAGAGAGGGGGAGGTATTGAGTATTTACTTGATTTTGAAGCTCGTAAGGGACAGGGTGTCAACTTACATTCAGCATCACAGAGGTGTGCACCATGGCATGCACACACACTCTCAGCCTTATCCAGACTACCAGTCCAGAAGAAGTGAATGTGTGGCCATGTTGTCGTTTAGACCACTAACTGAAGAATGTGGCCGTCCCAGCAACAGAGACCAGTGAGACGAAGACACAACTTTTGACAAATTTCGTCTATTTAGGGCTCGTCATTGCAGGAGAGTCATCAATACTTTATCTTGCCATATGCCTCTTGGAGCACCATGTATGGAGATTACTTGTACATTTACTCTCTGGAGACCCCATTGGCACATGTCCCAATGCAACACTTCAATCTGTAAATTATTATAAAACCCATCGGAACAAATACATTATGCAGGCTGGAAACAATAGATTTAACAATGGCAGCAGCTAAAATAGATTTGTGTAAAAGCAATGCACACCTTTGTGTGTTGTTCAACATATGTCTCCAGCCTGCGTTGATGTTTCTCTTGTGATGAGTTTTCTTGTCATTTGCACATTTCAATGGCAGTGAGAAAACAGCTCAGATGCCGGGGGAATTGGAGTTTCAGACATTGAGGATAGCAGCGACAAATGAGCACCCTGCCCAATGTGCAATCCTTGTGTGTCCACCAGGTGGCGAACCGGTCACTGCAGCGAACAAAATATGGTAAAGTCACGTAGGTATTAAATACAATAAATCACAACGTTTCGATCGCAACACAAGTGGTCGTCCTCAGGCGGAAAAAAATATAATCCAGCAGTGGAACTGCTGAACCAGCGAGAGAGCAGTTACAACAAGGTTATATATGTGGCGATGGACAATCAAGTGGGATCTGAGCTTTGAGGTCTACAACTGTACGCACTGCCACGCAGTTGACGTCCATTGAATTGTAAATCACGCGTGGTGGTTAAGGCCCCGCGTGTGTGTGCATGTGTGTGTAAACGCACGTGTGTAAAAGCGTGTGTACGTGTGCATGTGTGTGTAAACGCGTGTGTGTGTGTACCTGTATGTATCGAATCAGCCTCAAGTGATTACCTGGTGCGGCATGTAAACGACGCCATTAGGGAGATTAAGGCGGCCGGGCGTGGTGGTGACCACCGAACCCATCGTGTGCCGTGTAGGCCTTCACAGGTGCTCGCAAACAGCGCTTGGTCCTACATGGCTACACGAGGGGTCTTTGTGTGTAAACGCATGTTGGGAGCGGTGGCGCCGTGGTTAGCGCACTGCGCTATGAACCACTCATGTTTGACATTGTTGACGAATATCTGAACCGGTCTTGGGCAATTGAGGAGCCAAAGGCGGCTGGGCATGGTGCTAGCCAGAAACCCCCTCGTTCGCCATTCTCTCCTTCATACATACTCACTACTCTATGGGACATCGGGCTAAATATTATCAAGCTGCAGAACTGTCAGAACTCTTTGATACGTGTCGTGACCGGTAGTGCAAGATCTGACCATGTCTGTCCAGTGCTCGTCGAGCCACATTGGCTTCCTGTTGCCGAACGAAAATATAAGGTCGCACTTATTACACACAGTGCTTGCCACAATTGAACCACAATACCTTGCTGATCTCGGTAAGGAGCATAAACTGTCACGCGGACCCCAGTCACCATCGCAACAGTTTTTAACTCGCCATCGAACAAAGACTGTCACTACATCTCGCGCTTTTAGATGCGCTTCTGCAGCCGTCTGGAATGTTCTTCCATCCGATATTATGAAGCCACTGGGAGCTATGCACTTTTAAATCTAGATTGAACTCTAATTTCTTTAGAACTGTTTAGTTTGTTGTCCTTACCCCGCACCTTCGATTATCACGGTTGGATGCATACGGTGTGAAAGAAGTTCAACATACATACATAAATACTCACGAACTGAACTTTCACCAATATCATGTTCAAACTATACGGGTTATCTTTGTCTTTTGTGAATGTTTGCGTGTGTGTAAATGAGTGAAGCGAGTTTGCACTTACACCACTGAGTGATGCTTTTTGCATTGTTAATCATAACCCCTGCTGGACAGATTTCCATGATACCCACTAACAGAAGCTCTTGCAGTAATGCTCACTAAACGCCACGATTATAGTGAGCGTTGTGAAAAATGGTCAAAATGTAACCGTTTTTCACTGGAGTCGTGAGGCGTGCACGTTGGGGGGGGGGGGGGGATTTATAACCATGCACGTGAAGGATGCATACACAGCTACACGTATAACACAGTACACACACTCACACAGTGTGGGGGGTGAGACTACTTCATAGCCAAAAACAAATCAGCATTTTTCTTCTTTGGTTCTTTATTATTTTATTCTCATTCTACGTGACTTTACCGAAAGAACCAAAGAAGATGAATCATTGCAGTCACGAAAGCTTTAAATCGAAATTTAAATCAGCATTTTGTCTTAAATCGCGGTTGCCGAGTGCAGGCACAAAGGCCAATAACGAAAAGCGGTCAGCAACAAACAGCACAATTCAAGTTGTAATAGATGAGAGTTAACACGTTTCTAGACATTGACTCATGATATATCAAAGAATTTGGGACAAAGACGATGGGGGGGAATTTCCAAGTGGAGCAGTGCGAGGGACGACGTGGACTATGGTGAGGCTACGTTGGTCTAATGCAGACAACATCAGCTGGGATACAAGTTCTGTTTTGTGGAGGCACAATGGGCTCAGATATTCCACATTTAATATTTAGCGTCATTTTGAATATAAAAAAGAATATGTAAATTAACTGGGCTGCTATCTCCGTAGTCGAGTAAGCGGCATTGCAATCAGAATGTTGAGATCAAACCCTGGTTGGGGTTGACTCGTATCATCATCCTTATTGGGTCGATAAATTGAGCACTACTTTGTGGGGAAGTCCAGTCAGGTGAAGTCAAGTCAGTCTCATTTGCAAGTAGGTTGAGGTCTTGAGAATAAACTCGCCCCCATCATAGGAACAGGGAATTATCATCACCGGAACAGGGCTGTAAGCAGGAGGTAAGCACCGCCTGAATGATTATTTTAGGAACAAATCACTTTGACTTTAGACATATGTAATGTGTCTATGACTGAATCAGTGCATCACACGAGTTGCGTGACAGGTGAGATGATCACATTGGTGGTTATCGTGAGTTAAGCTCACTAATGAATGACAAATCACCTGGTGTGGAACTCACAATTAAAATAACCAACATTGTCCCAGTACAATGTAAAACAGGCGTGTCTCGCTTCACGAGCGAGATACTTCACGCGGAAAATGGTAGATAAGCAAAAACTCGTCAAACAATCATCGTTACCCCATTGATTCCCATGCTAAAAGTTTAGCTTTGTTTCAGTCCCAAAATGTTCCACTCTTGAGAAACTTTGTTACCGTGAGAGCAACAAAAATTAATTTAAAATAAAGTATTAAAACATCAAATGTAACACACGCAAAGAACCGCAGTGCTTGCATATGCCACCGCTCTCCACACCCCGCACCCCTCCCCTCAACCTTCCCCCTCTCATCCTTCCTCTCTCCCCTTCCCCCACCCCTCTCCTTCCTGCTGCTACTGGAGGAGACTTCTTGGTGCCACTGCTTGTATCAGGGCCTGAGACTGAGAAAGCAGCGGAGGAGGCGACACGGCGAGCGGGGCCGCGTCTGCACGTGTCAGGGATGAGAGACGCGGGCGACTCAACACTTCACAGCGTGGGTGAGTGTGGGGAGTTTGTGGTGCGTGGGGGACGGTGGGTGGTGTGACACTTCACGGCGTGGGTGAGTGTGGGGAGTTTGTGGTGCATGGGGGATGGTAGGTGGTGTGACACTTCACATCGTGGGTGGGTGTGGGGAGTTTGTGGTGCGTGGGGGACAGTGGGTGGTGTGACACTTCACGACATGGGTGAGTGTGGGGAGTTTGTGGTGCGTGCGGAATGGTGGGTGGTGTGACACTTCACGACGTGGGTGAGTGTGGGGAGTTTGTGGTGCGTGCGGAACGGTGGGTGGTGTGATACTTCAGGCGTGGGTGAGTGTGGGGAGTTTGTGGTTCGTGCGGAACGGTGGGTGGTGTGACACTTCACGACGTGGGTGAGTGTGGGGAGTTTGTAGTGCGTGCGGAATGGTGGGTGGTGTGACACTTCACATCGTGGGTGAGTGTGGGGAGTTTGTGGTGCGTGCGGAACGGTGGGTGGTGTGACACTTCACATCGTGGGTGAGTGTGGGGAGTTTGTGGTGCGTGGATGACGGTGGGTGGTGTGGCCCAGACTATAAACCGCCTGTGTAGGCTACACGGGGGATTTTTTTTTTATTGGTGCCTAAATGGCTGTGTGTGTGTGTGGAAGATGGTGTAGTGTGTGAATGTGTGTGCGGTGGGGGGTAGGGAGGTCAATGTGTGTGTGTAACGCATATGAGTACCTGGGGCGGTGTGTAAATATCACACATTCGGGAGACAAAGGCGGTCCAGCGTGGTTCTGACCACCTACCATTTCCTGTACTATGTTGGCCTTTATCGGGGCTCAATAACAACACTTGCCCCACCAGTCTGTGGAGCTACATGGGGGTGTTTGTGTTGGAGCTCGTGCTGTAGGCGTCAAAGACGCGCGACCGTGGATCTTCTGGAGGGAGCGCGCGTCTGCTGTGTGTAGCGTGGAGCTGCACGAGCGGACACCGACGCAGCGATTCCCATAGCGAGTCACAAGATAGGCGCTGGAAAACAATCAAACTGAAGTGTGTGGCTGGGTTGATGAAGCGAGCACCACCATGGTGTGCTTGGCTTGCATGGTCAGTCGTGACCGATAATGAATTATTATAATACATTAAGTCACACCTCTACACCGTGTTATGGCAGTTTTTCTGTTTTACCTTGATTGTATTTTCATTCCAGAAAATGTTTCACCTGCAAAATCGATTGAATATCTGATGCGAAAGGGTGCCCAGGGCATGTGGGGGGTTGACCAATTGCACAGTGCTTAGCGCACATCACTACACACCTACAGTATGGACTAAATCCAGAGGCGAGTGACAAATGAATCAGTCCTGCCCCTGTCGCTTCACCAACCCGCACTAGGCAGCATGGTGAACTATGGTAAAAAAACAACACGACCGAAAGGGCATAGGGTGCCCATTATCCAGCAGTGCTGTACTTTATTATCACATCCACATCTAATTGTGGATTTGGTTATTTTTCTTTAGATGTCTTTGCATATATATGTGACTTGGCCAGATGTTTACTCTTGATTTTAAGCTTTCGTGACTGCAGGAATCCATACTCTTTGGTTCTTTCAGTAAAGTCACGTCGATATAAAATTAATAGATCACGACGTTTCGGTCACTTGTGTTGAGCCCACACTCCCACCCTCTCTTCCTACTATTTGACTTCACTCATACTGTACAACAGATTTGTATTCATTCATCCAACTCTCTGCATGTCAAAAATTACTCGAGGCGAATGTTTGCTGGCCAAATTCAGACGAGTGTGGAGTAGTATGGTCCAATAACCTCTACGACTGCCACAGCGGGCGGAGGACTGCCTGGAGCAGTGCATTAGAAAATACTTGTTTATTTTTATTGTTGTTGTGAGAATTAATTCACTGCCGTATAACATCTAGTTTCAACATTACAACCACTACCATCAACATAATCAGCGCCATTAAAATTACAACTACAATGAATGATTCTGAATATCAATTTCAATGTGTGCTTTTAAATGTAATAATCAATACATTTATAATAATCAGATTTTAACCAGCAACATCCGAAGTGTGATCAACACCATAGATACTATAGCCACCACTTATGCTATTGTCTAACAAGTGTTGTGATGCTAACACACATTCTTGTGTTACTCAGAGCCTTTATTTCGGACACAACACTATTTATAGGCTTCGTTCTTGATTCTTGAACTTCGTCGTCTCTCCAATCATCCCGTCCCCTTGTGCTATCTCCTTTTATATCCTCTGAGTCCCCTTTCTGAAATATTTGCTCACTCCATTTCCTTTAGCCAACCTTCGTCCTCCTCCTCCAACAGTTGTCAACCATTGCCCCTACAGTCAATCCTCATTACCTGCCCTTTACGTTTGAATCTGTCCTCCAATCTCTGATTCTCATCTCTTGATCAATCCTCTTTGAGGCCTCCCTGCACCAACCAGAGACCTTTAATGATTTCCTGCCTGTCCGTTGACACATATGCTTATGTCAGGTAAGTGGTATGTTGCCTCGGGCATTACACAAGTAACAATTCTGGTAAAAAAACAAAAAAATATTATCCATGTTTAATGACGACTTCGACGCACTTGTCTTGAGATTTTTATTTTAGGAGCCAGGTGCTCACACTTGGACAAGCAGGGACCCCACTCCAACAGCCACGAGTCTCCCGCCCATTTTCCTTAAATACGGTGTGTGGCCACGCCCCTGTCCCCGTGGCCACCTCCCAATTCCCAAAACTTCTCGCTGGCCCTAGACCACTCGTTCTACCACTGTCCTCTTACGTCACCTGGCCACGCACCTTTTCTTGATCATTCCCGTGGCCACCAGTCCATTTGCACTGCAGGCTGACTCCCCTGACATTACCTCCCGTCGCCACTTGTCCGCTTGCACCGTAGGTTGACTCTACTGTCATTACCTCCCGTGTTTTTGTTGTATTGTTTAAGTTATATTTACTATAGTTTAAATTATGTCTCTTCCATAGACTCGATGACATGACGTCATCGAGCCTAAAATGGAAAGTTTAACATGACTAAAGCTATGGCTTGCATGAGCTCTTCAGAGGGGTATGACAGAGAGCGATTATGCAACTGGGAGGATAATAATGCAATTTATAACGCGCACAAATTTGCGGACGTAACGGCCGCAACTCAGAGGCGTGGAGCCAATCTCAGAGTCACTCGAAATCATGGTTATAGAGGTGAGTTTTTAAGTGTCTTTTGAAGGAGGCGATTCAGGTGATTCTGCGAATGTGCAGAGGGATCGCGTTCCAGACTGTTGGGGCTGCCACCGAGAAGCGGCGCATAGACATGACCATCCTGGATCTTGGCGTCAAGAGGAGGTCGTGAGTCGCGCTGCGCAGGCATCTGCCATGTGCTGAGCTGCAAGTCGTCAGTAATGAAGAAGGGTACGGCGGGCAGGCAGATGTAAAGGAATGGTGGCAGAGGCAGGCGATCTTGTATATGACCCTGCTGGCGATGGGTAGCCAGTTGAGGGTACGGAGACAGGCAAGTGAGTCGAGACGGGGATGAGTGTGGCCAATGACGACGCGTGCTAGGTTGTTTTGTAGTCTTTGAAGACCTTTTAGGTTGCCAGTCGAGGTCCGGACTAGGACGGAGTTGCAATAGTCAAGGCGAGACCCAACTATGCAACATGGCAATGTGTTGGCAATTTCGGTGGAGATAAGAGGACGTAGGTGTCTGAGAGCCTTCAGGTGAAAGTTACATGAACTGATTATGTGATTGGTTTGACGGTCGAAGGATAAAGTGGAATCTAGGATGACACCGAGGTAGCTGATGTGATCGGTGAACCTTATGCTGTGACAATAGATGTGTATTTGTGTTGGGAGTGCTGATGAGTTGAGACGTTGCTTGGTACCTAACATGATGGCCACTGACTTTTTCCGATTAATGGCTAGGATGTGTGCAGTGAACCACTGTTGCAAGGCAGTGGTACATTCCGAGAGCCTGTCGAATCCAGATGCATTGTTATAATCGATGGCGGTGAATAGAATAGTGTCATCCGCGTATGAGTGGTGCTGAACACCGAAGCTTGCGATGAGCCAGCCAGTCGGGGAAGTGTAGGCTGTGAAGAGCAGGTGACCTAGGACGGAACCCTGGGGAACCCCGCATAATGCTTTTGTTTCAGGCGATGTGGACGTGCCCACCCTGACTGAAGATTGCCGGTCAGAAAGGTACAGAACTATCCACTTGAGTGCTGAGCCACATACAGTGAGGGAAAAAAGTATTTGGTCCCCTGCTGATTTTGTACGTTTGCCCACTGACAAAGAAATGATCAGTCTATAATTTTAATGGTAGGTTTATTTGAACAGTGAGAGACAGAATAACAACAAGAAAATCCAGAAAAACGCATGTCAAAAATGTTATAAATTGATTTGCATTTTAATGAGGGAAATGAGTATTTGACCCCCTCTCAATCAGAAAGATTTTTGGCTCCCAGGTGTCTTTTATACAGGTAACAAGCTGAGATTAGGAGCACTCCCTTTAAGAGTGTGCTCCTAATCTCAGCTCGTTACCTGTATAAAAGACACCTGTCCACAGAATCAATCAATCAGATTCCAAACTTTCCACCATGGCCAAGACCAAAGAGCTCTCCAAGGATGTCAGGGACAAGATTGTAGACTTACAAAAGGCTGGAATGGGCTACAAGACCATTGCCAAGCAGCTTGGGGAGAAGGTGACAACAGTTGGTGCGATTATTCGCAAATGCAAGAAACACATAAGAACTGTCAATCTCTCTCGGCCTGGGGCTCCATGCAAGAGCTCACCTCGTGGAGTTGCAATGATCATGAGAACGGTGAGGAATCAGCCCAGAACTACACGGGAGGATCTTGTCAATGATCTCAAGGCAGCTGGGACCATAGTCACCAAGAAAAAAATTTGTAACACACTACGCCGTGAAGGACTGAAATCCTGCAGCACCCGCAAGGTGCCCCTGCTCAAGAAAGCACATATACATGCCCATCTGAAGTTTGCCAATGAACATCTGAATGCT